CATTCAACCACTCATTCTCATTCAGTTCACTCTATAGGAGGCACAATTTATATGGATAGTATTTTTTTTTTTTTACGATAGCTAGCTGGAAAAAAAACAAGCAAAAATGAAATAAAAGTAATGACTTTCTACTTCTTGCCTTTTTAAAAAATGTAAGAAGTAAAAAGTAAATTGTGAGAAAATGTAAGAAGTAGACGTAAAAATGTATAGGCTGAAAAATAATTACTCAAGTAAAATACAGATACCCAAAAATTCAACTTAAGTACAGTAACAAAGTATTACAACTCTGCCTGGAACTTGTTCATAACACCAATGTTTGTCTGTTTGTGASGACAATATTTGACCTTAAGGGACAGCTTTTCATACAATACACAATAAGTGGAAATATGAAAACAAACAAACAAAAAAACTTGTTTTTAATTCACACAGTAAAATTGCTCCTGCTCTTCTCTGAATAAAAAAATAAATCAATAAATAAAAAGATTTCCGTGAGCGCGTGAGTTTTCACTGTTGTCATAAAAACGTGTCATGTTTCAAATAAAGTGCCAGCCCTGAGACACCACCATGACGTCAGCGTCGGATCAGTGAACTAAAAAACAATCAACCTCTCCTCCTGCTCCCCGAACCGACCGCACCGTCCACGTCCACAGACACAACCAGGTTCGGCTCTGCTCGGCAGCTGACACAGAACCAGCCGGGAGCTGCTGCTGCTGCTTTGTGCGTTTCTCTCTCGTCCTCCCGCCGCTCTTCATCCGGTTAAAGAAGAAGAAGAAGACAAGACGCCTGCAGGAGCAGCTGCGGCGATTCTCTCTCCCGTCCGACGACACCGGAAACAAGCATGTCCGCTGAGGAGCTCGGCTCGGAGGGGAAGTGGTTCGGCGACGACTACGACAGGAGCGGCCTGTTCGGCAACACGCCGACTCGGTTCGGCGAGGAATTCAAGCCGCGAGGCGGCGAGGCGGCGGGCGACCTGGATAAACACTTTCATCCTTTCCAGGACGACGGGGGAAGGCCTCGCGTTGCTATGGAAACTGCATCTACAGGTAAAASTCGCGCTTATCTCGTGCAAATCGAACCGTTTGCAGCTGTTTTGTTGTAAAAACGAGCCACACTGCGTCTCGTTRCGGTGATGAAAAACAACAAAACGCTTGTTAGATGCTTATAGACGCAGCCGGTTCGGCACAGATTACGACAGACGGCCTTCCTGTCTGCTGCTGCGCAGACTAGAAAAAACAACAACAAATAAAACGCAGCTGCAAGAAAACTACTTTGACATGTTAGTCAGCAGGAAAAGTGCATAAATTAATAATTTCCCTGAATAAAATTAACTTACATTCAGATTTGGGCAAAAATATAAAACCTGCAACATTTATTTTAAATGATAGATTATATTGAAATTTGATGAGACATGATCAAATCTGGTGACAACTTTCATTTTTGCTCCAGCCCTCACCTTTAAGACTATTTCTATAATAATATACCTGCTGCAAGTTTTTATGAAGTGACAAGAACACACCCAAATTCTGTAATTTAATAACAAAAATAAACAAACTTCATTAAAAGGTTTATTTTCCCTCAATTAAAAAAAAGCCAAATGCACCACATTAGTTATACTGCTGTATAAATGTTTTCTGGAGTTTATTTTTTTCTCACATAAACTCAGTTTTAAGCCTTCAAACCCTCTTAATATACAGCCCTGCTCATGCTGCTATTTTTAATCCTGAAGCAACATGGCTCTCTATTCGCTTGGTGAGCAAAACTAGTCAGCCCTGCACTTTTATTCTAGAACCCACTGAAAAATTCATGAGATTATGCTTTTAAAAAAAAGCTCTACCAAGAATCAGGCTCCTTCTGCTGCCACTGATCTGAAACAAAACAAAAAAAAAAGAAATAAACGTTTTAATGTAAATACTCTGAAGCATGATTGGACTTCATTATGTTTAAATCCTCTGATTTGTTTTCCACTCAAAGCTAAAGTGTAAAATTCACATTTTGTAAAACAATTATTTTGTGCAGTGAGCACTACTGGCTCCACAGCTTCGCTCTCCTGAAAAAGTAAACAAAGCGTGTGCTCCACTTTCATAACAGTCTGCCAGAGCAGCTGTGTAGGTGCACGCCTGCTTTGTTTTAGTTTCTAAAAGAGGAAGGAAAAGCCCGAAACTGCTGCGACTCCCACTGAGCCGGCCTCGTAAACGTGAAGCAATCTGTTCTGTCCCGTTTGTTCTCGGTGGGAACGCTGCAGATCCCGTCCCATCGTTACCATCAGTGTGGATGTCTTCTGCTTAACCACGTGATCTATAGTGTCCTACAGCTACACACAATGAAAAATCGACTGTTTTTAAGCTTATGATCGAGAGTTGAAAGCTGAAACTGTGTTTCTGAGTCTGTTATCCCATGCACGACCRTACAGAAATTAATCCAACTCCCAGAAAATAATCAGTGGGTTTACATTTACAATCAATTAACCTTTGGAGTCGGTGTTACAGAMTGGCTGCCACAGCCAGCTGACCTTTAAAAACACAAAAACCACTATAACTCAAGACTTTAAGWTAAGCCTTAGTGTGGTCTCTAATTTGTATAAAGAACATTATCGAATTGCACAAAATCKTCTTTAAAATTTGCAATTAACTGCACAAAGTCCACTTTTTTTGTTAACAACATATCTCATGAAACACAAGACGTCCTTTATGATTCCAGGAAATAGTCAGTGGATGTTTATCTGCAACTGATCCGATTCAACATGGCTGCCATGGCTAATCGCTGGAACTGTCAGTTTCATAAATGTTGAGCTAAAATGAGGTGTGGTAGTAGCTGAGAGTCACTTGCAGCACATATTACATGAGCTGGAGCACAATGTTAATTTTCAACTCCATCTCCATCTTTTCTCAACATAAAAAAAGCTCTGATTTAACCTCTAAAACTCTGGCATCCTTTGAGGATATGAAGGCATGTCATTTTTGTGTTATTCTGAGCCCAGAAATGAATTTCATCCATTAATTAGAATAAATTGTGAAACATGACACATCTAGAAGTGCATTGATTTTGATTCAGGCCTGTCTTAAATTTTGTTCACAGCAGTGATCCAGTGCTGATTTCAGCTGCACTAAATTACGACAGGAAAAGCTCACACCCCTGAATTCTGACATTATTATTCAGCTTTCAATTTCCACGTCAGCCCGAGAGAAACGGGTGACAAAAGTTGTTCTGCGTCAYGATCGAGCCTAATATGCTGTGAAAACACTCCGATTGAGTTAGCAGATGGCTTAGAGCTGTGACATTCACGCTGTCATTGAGGGATTTGCCTTGTTGTACAYGAGCAGTGACATTGCACTTTTGTTCAGTCATGAGGAGAAGTTTCCTGTGTAATCCAGTGTCTGAGAGGTGGATTAGGCTCTGAGGCTCTGTTTCAGTTCTGAGGGATGAACCAGCACACTGGATGCCTGACTGGCTCCTTTCTGTATCTTTTAGATAGAAGAAGCACTTAAAGGGAATCTGCCAGGCTGCATAAAACAGCGGAGTGCATTTGTGCTGCTAAAAGCTGGCCTCCTTTTCCTCAGGGAGGGGCAGCGAGGGGCGGGGGAACCAGGCAATGCAGGGTCGTTTCAAATAAAGCTGTGAAATAATACAAAGCGGCTGGAGGGGTTGAGATGAGGGCACCTTCACTGGAGTCTCTTTTTCTGAGAAAAGGTGTTTYGGCATCAGCAACAAAACTCTGAGGTGCAGGTTGGGCCTTGTTATGGCTGACGTTTGCTTTTCAAGTTCAGACGAGCTCTCTGGTGCAGTACAGCCTCCCTGCTTTAATGATATCGAGTCATAATTCTGAATGCCTTTCAGATCCCGTGTGTTCACTTCAAACATGAACCCATCCTGTGTAACATGATTCTCCGTTGATAAGAATTCCCWGAGCAAACTGGTGCAAAACACCTCCTGGGATTAGATCAGAGGCACCTTCAGCAGATAAATCACAGACCGTTTACGTTTCACTTTTCTGGAGGTTTATTGTCTAAATGCTGATTCAGCATTCACACTGTTGTTTATTATTATTTTTCTGTATGTTTTTTTTTTGTAGTTTTATTTCTGCATACTTCGTCCTATTTTAGTCCTTCATACATTAAATTTTGAGTGCTATGTCTTTTGTGTTTTGAGTTTTTTTTATTTTACTCTTTATTTCCAAATATTTTTGCCATTAAAAAACTGCAGCGTCCCTTCAGTTCCTTCAACAAACGTGTTCTCTTTGCTGCAGTCTACTTCATCTGTTTTTGTCGTCTTGTGCTACTTTTATCACCCATTCTATTTGTAGCTTTTAGTTGCCTTTTGATGGCAGAATTCAATTAAGATATTAAGCACATCACAGTATTCACAAGTTTGTCTTAAATTTACCTAAAATTGCCTAAAAATTCAGATGTTTATTAATATCTAATTTAACAGTCAATTCTTTAGACATTTTTACATTTTCTATTTAGTTATAAGTTTTTTTCAGTTCAAAAAGTGTAATTAAAAACAACTACTCAATGTACCGCTGATTCAACTGGCTTTTTTCTACTTTATTCGTATTAAACAAACTAAAAACAGTATTTATCCTGTATGAACATTTGTTATTTCTTTAAAAATGTATGTTTCTTACAGTAATTGCACATACCTGTTGTCTTGGCTCGGTGCAGCCGAGCATCTGAATCTCAGCACAGCTCCTCTTCTGCTTGTAGCTTTGTTCCATCTCAGTAAAGTCACACCTTTCTTCCCAGGCTCATCACCGTAAAGGTGAGGTAATTAGTGAGCAGTATTCCTGTAATTGTCCAGCCAGGTTTGTTGTAATCAATATGTTACATTAAAATAAACACCATGACCATTTAGATAATTAAAGACTTAGCATCCCTCGAAGGAATGCACATTACTCACCATCATTTATGTCAATGTGATGAACTCATCGTGTTTCGGTTTTGAGAAAATACAAAATTGGTTTCAGCAAAACAAATTGCCATTAAATTTGGATAAAACAAATTACATGACTTTTAGTAATAGGAAGACAACTGTTGGTTTCTCATTTAAAGTAGATGGTATTGAGATTTGTGAAGTCAGTGAGGTGAAATTTCTGGGTGTCGTCATTGATGACAAGCTGACTTGGAGACCTCACATACATTATTTGAGAACAAAAATATCTAAATCTATTGGAGTACTGTATAAAGTCAGGGAGTTACTCAATGACAAGGCTCTGCTTGTGTTGTACAATTCAATAATTATTCCACATTTAATTTACTGTATTAAGTCTGGGGTAAAGCTTGCAAAACAAATACAAATCCAATTTTTGTTTTGCAGAAAAGAGCCGTAAGAACTACCATGAGAAAAGATTACAGTCATCCATCAAATACATTATTTTGCAAACTGAAAATTTTGAAATTCTATGATTTGGTTGACTTTAACAGTTTACTGTTTATGTACAAGGCTCACAGAAACATATTACCTTCCAAAATTCAGGCAAATTTTGTTAAGAGAGACAGTTGTTATTATCTTAAGGAGATGGAAATGTTTGTGAAGCCATATTTTCATACTTGCTTGAGAGGAAGATGTACTTTAATCCAGGGAATAGTTTAATCTTGGGTATAGGATTGTGAAATGGTCTGGAGGATGATCTTAAAAATACCATATCTACAGCGGGTAAAATAAGTATCGAACACATCACCATTTTTCTCAGTAAATATACTAGAGGTGCTAATGACATGAAATTTTCACTAGATGTCGGTAACAACCCAAGTGATCCATACATACAAAGAAATCAAACCATAAATGTCCAGAAATGAAGTTATTTGTAATAATGTGGAATGGCACAGGGAAAAAGTATTGAACACACTTACTGAAATTTATCTAATACTTTGAACAAAAGCCTTTGTTGTCAATGACAGCTTCAAGACGCCTCCTGTATGGAGAAACTAGTGGCATGCATTGCTCAGGTGTGATTTTGGCCCATTCTTCCACAAACAGTCTTCAAATCTTGAAGGTTTCGTGGACCTCTTCTATGAACTCTGATCTTTAGTTCTTTCCATAGATT